CTTGTTTGAGTCCTTTGTCCATCACAAATCCTTTGGATATTTCTTGGCCTATCTTTATTTTACTTGTGTTGTTTTTATAGAGTTCTTGCACTGTCTTGAATAAAATTACATTGATGTTTGTTTTTTTTTAAAGCTTCCCATAGTTTTGGTGGTGGTACACTATCATATGCTTTTTGAAGATCTATCTATAGGAGGTTTATTGCTTTGTTTCGTGCCGTTTTTTGTTTCGGCTGGGTTGGATAATTGTAAAGAGATGGTCAATATTCGATTTACCTATACTGAAGCCAGCCTGTTCTTCGGCCTCCATATTGGCGTATTCTCTCTCTATTTTCTTTTTTATTAATTTTCCGTAAACTCTCGAGATAGTACCTAGCACTGCTATTCCTCGGTAGTGATCACATATGCCTTCTTTTTTATGTGTGGTTGACATAAACGAAGTTCTCTACTCTTTCGGTATATTCTCTACATTTATCCATTTTTAATACATGCCGGTTAGCTGCCTATATAGTTTGTCCGTTTCGTATTTTAGTAGTTCTGGTAGGATATTACCTGGACCTGACGATTTTCGGTTTTTCAACATATGACATACTTATTTTACTTCTGTACTGTCAATCTTAAGTGGGGGTGCTATTATATTTACTTGTACCGATCTTGTACATAATAATGTGTTTGTGGTGTTTGTAGATAATTTGCCCTTTCCTCCGTCAGTAGTTTTCCAAAGTATTAATCTGATTCACTTAGGCTAATAGGTAAGATGATAAGACAAACAAAAACAAAATAATAAATAACAAGTGAATTTGCCAGCGTGTTTCTTTGTATTGCATTTGGTCTTGCTCATGGTAATATGCAATTCTGTTTGTAAGATATTAATGAAATGTTTTATTATAGTAAGACTTTTTTTTCTTCTTTTATGTACACATAGCTGTCTGTTTTCCAATGTGACCACAGTACGTTGTCGTTCCATCGTTTTCGCGACCTTTTCACTGATCGCTTTCCTATTGTAGAACCGTTTCTCGTCGTCTTTACTAGTCTATTTGTTGCCAATTGGTTTATATGATTGTTTTATTCTACTCTTCTATTTCCTTCCTAGTCCATGATGTTCTCCACTTTGCATCTACATCGCATATCTCATAGTGTCTTACCATCAATTTTCTAAGAGTTTTCATCTCTGCAGTTTCTAACATTATATTTGTCATCTCTGTATCAGGTCGTGTTTCTGTCGCGTCTGACGACACTTTTGTAAATTTTGCGTTTCATTTCATTTCCGATATTTTTAATTCTCCATATTTTTTGATTCAGGCAACCTGTGGTACTTTTTGCTCTCTTCAAGCTTAATAATTAAACCAGAAAATTGTTAAGCAAAAGAAAAAACTTACTGATAAATATACTACAAACCTACCTAGACTATGAAAGTTTATCACTCCAGCTTTTGCGCATTTATACTTCTTCTAGGGTTTGTTGCTATTTTGACATTTCTTACTATTTTGACCTCTCTCGACTCCTCCATTCTGCTAATGTGATTAGTTATGTCCTTTTGCTTTTTAGTATTCACTCGTTGATACTTTGCACATTACATTTTCTTTTTATGATTTATCATCTTTTTCTGTCTCTCAGCGTATTTCCTGTAATCTTTCTCAGTAACGTCACCTTCGTAGTTTCCAATAACCTTTATGTTAACGATGTAGGGTCTTGTTTTTGAGGTATACGTCATTATTGGTATTGATCTTGGTCACTTTTATATATTGTTGATGTCACCTGTGGTAATCCTTCCATTCTATTTGTTTTTTGTACTCGATGTTTTACTTCTCCTACCACGTCTTTATACCTGGAGAGTGTAAACTTCCGTTACTTGTTAATGCTGACGCCATCAATTTAGATCTGATTTTCTACTAATTACTATTGTTTGGGTTTTCTAATTTCCGACATGCATGCTAGAACAGTTTTTATGGAGGACAATTATAACAATCTTTATACAGCACTGTTCAAAACAAAAAATTTATAAATATCGACACACTTTAGAAGAATGGAAACAGGAGTGGAACGAACACATTAGTATGGCAGAGAAAGGGATAGTACGAATAGCACGAGATAAGTCAAGAAATGGACGAAGAAGTATTGGCAGACCAAGAAAAAGATGGTGCGATAATTTAAACAATCTAGGAAGCTAATATTGAATAAGAAACAGGCTTTAAAGCCTACATACAAGAAGAAAGAAAAAGGAGACACACTTTAGTCTTAGCTTTGCACATCAATGTATAAAAATAACAGAACATAAAATGTAAATGAGCAAAACTTAGAGCTTTAAGCCAGCATTTCACGCCTTGATGGCAGAGAAAATGAGTTTACTTTACGATTCTTTTTACGCATACGTGCCATCTTCGCGGCAGAGGTTGGCAACCATCTTGGGTATTCTGATCTTAGATGCGGCTGTACTGAAAAATTTAATAGATAAACATCTATACCATTTCCGTAAAATGCGCAACCGTAAGATTTTTCTCTTTCCTACACTTCTCTTTCCCTGTATTGTTTCTTGTATAGCTAATTAAATGAAGTAATATATTCCGTTACACACAAAATGTCCCAGGTACTGCAGCTCACTTCTTTTGATAGTTTTTATTCTCTGATGATCGCCCGACCGGACCAAAAACGTTTTGAAGATAATTTTAATTTGTTGCGACTTAAAACCCATTGCCGGACACCACACTTTGTTAATGTGTACTGTGTGTGACACCGACGTCTATGAACATTCGGGATATTGTGCGTGATATGACAACTTAATTTTGCGACGTCCTGAGACGTTCTAACAGAAACTCGTTTTCTGTGACCACTACGATGCCGGACGCATCTAAACATTCCGTATATGTATTCGGCACCTAGGACTTTTCTATTGGTTTTTTGCGGCACGCGGCAATGTTTCAACCAATAGGCGGCGAGGTGCCAGACACGTATATGGAATGTTACTCTGGTGCCAAATTCATATACGGAATGTTAAAAATAGTCATAAACCAAAATAGACAACTTTTTATTAAAATGAGTTAAAAGGAAACTGATTCTAAAATATTTGTTAATGTGTGATTAAGGAAAATTAAAAGGATGCAATAAGAAATAAAACAAAATATATTTAAATAAATTTAAAAAAAATTTCAAATGTTTAAAATGTAATATTTATGCGTAATTCAACACCCTTCGCCATGTGTTTGATTTGCTGCGAAATGCATATACGGAATGTTAAAAATATTCGTAAACTAAAATAGACCACTTTTTATTAAAATGAGTTAAAACGGGACTGATTCTAAAATATTTGTTAATGTATGATTAAGGAAAAGTAAAAGAATGCAATAAGAAATAAAACAAAATATATTTAAATAAATTTAAAAAAAAATTCAAATGTTTAAAATGTAATATTTATGCGTAATTCAACGCCCTTCGCCATGTTTATTTGCATTTGTTTGATTTGCTGCGATATTGGACGAAAGATTGTGACTCCTTTTTAATCTTTTTTTAGGAGAAATTAAATATTTACAACAGAAAGATGTAAGTAAATTTTTTAAAAATTTATACAAAGTTCCTAGTGAGCAAAATATAGTGTGCTTTCCGAAGTCGATATAGCAACAGGATTTTGCAGTTGCGAAATTGGAAGATTGGGTGCCTTTTGCAAGCATCAAGCTGCGATTGCACATTTTTTTAATATATCTTTTTGCAACGTTCCAGCTACTACTCCTGAAGATCGATACGACGTAGCTAAATTAGCTTTTGGCGAAAAAGTTCAACCTTTTTCATTTTATAGCGGACTTGCAGGATCCAATCAGTGTATTACAGAACCTTATATTATTAAAAGCATTGATAATATTGATGAAAATATTGTTAGAGAAGATATTATATTAAACAAAAATGAAACAGATGAACAACAAGCATTTTCGTTTAGAGATTTTATTAATATGCTACAAGATAAAAATGTTACATTTGGAAATGATTAATCAACTTTAAAATTGCTGCAGGAAGTTCCTCGGCAAGGCGATTTGGACACAAGGCTAATATAAGAGTGCAACCTACTTCAATCAGTCGAAGAAAGTTGGGAGTTACTAGAGGGTCAAAAAGATTACCATTTGGAAGACCACCTAAAGATGAACCTCCTAAAAAAAGATTAAAAAGCAGTCACAATCATTAAACATTTGAAATTTTTTTAAATTTATTTAAATATATTTTGTTTTATTTCTTATTGCATTCTTTTAATTTTCCTTAATCACACATTAACAAATATTTTAAAATCAGTTTCCTTTTAATTCATTTTAATAAAAAGTTGTCTATTTTGGTTTATGAATATTTTTAACATTCCGTATATGAATTTGGCACCAGAGTAACATTCCGTATACGTGTCTGGCACCTCGCCGCCTATTGGTTAAAACATTGCCGCGTGCCGCAAAGAACCAATAGAAAAGTCCTAGGTGCCGAATACATATACGGAATGTTTAGATGCTTCCCGGACATCGAACTAACGTGCAATTCTGTTGATGTGTCACATTAAACACACCATAATTAATATTAGATTCCTAACCCTCACTCCCACGCCATTCTAAGGGGAATCCCAGACTAAGGGGTACATAAATGTATGTACTAATGGTTTTCGTGTTACTTTAGCTAAACTGCTTGAGGTGTAAATATAGTGTGTATTTTGTGTTTGCTTATTTGGCTACGCATAAATTGTTTATAAATTGAGGTAAGTATATTTAATTTTTAAACATAATAAGGGGGTGATAAAAATGATAATGAAAAATATTTCAATTATCAATTTTATTTATTTTGTCATTACTATGGAACTACTAAATGTACAAGATTTGAGAATTATATTATAAGTGTTATTTTTTATTGCAGATTGTTTAATAATAATAATTAAGGTATAATAAAATAAACGACAATGTGATATGTTTCAATTTTGTTTATTTTGCAATTACTTTTATACCAACAAAGTTTATGTCTATGAGTGTTATTTTTACTTGCAGATTTAAAATGAATCCTGCTAAAGAACAAAAGTTATTACTCTGGTTTGACGAAATTGACGATGATGTAAATGAAGATAAATCAGAATCTGAACCATACAGTGATGATGGAGAATGCAGTTATAGTGAAAATTATGTACCCGGTTCATCCAATTTATTAAATGAGAGTGTGTCTGGAAGTGATGAGATCCTAGAAGATCACGACGAAAACCCCGAAGAGAATGGTGAGCAAATCTTAAATTTCATAAAAAATCGTACGGACGGAGAAACCCCTGGAAGTGGAGGTAAGAAAAACATAAATTTAACAAAAAAACTTGCGGTTGAAGACACTTAGGAGGAGGTGCAATCCGAAGTTCCCAATTTTAATTTTGATATCAGTCAAAGCGGCATTAAAATTATTGAAATAGAGAGTATGTCACCCATAGACATTTTTCGAAAAATATGGAATGGTGATGTTACGATTTTTTTAATTACAAGTACGAACAGTTACGGTAAAAATCTTGTAGCCAAAAATCGCCCCAAAACTAGAAGTAGTCGATCGCGGAGCTTTCATCCAGTTACAGACACTGAAATGAATAAATTTATTGGATTGTGTCTTTTGCAAGGTATGGTGAAGATACCAGTTTTACTCTTCTTTATATTATCACCCAGTGTTCTTACATACGTTAAGTGGTCGTAGATTTGAACAAATACTTCGATATTTCAATGCTACTCCTGAGGTATATGATGCGAAAGATCGACTTCCTAAAGTAAAAACGCTATTGGATATGGTGATAAAAAAGAGTAATTCTGTCTATTCGCCATGTGAAATATTAGTTGCTATGCATAATGTTGCTATTTAAAGGCAGACTCATTTTTAAACAGTATATCAAAAACAAAAAGGCAAAATATGGGATAAAGTTCTATGAACTTAGTACCCATGACGGTTATATTTTAAATACAGAAGTTTATCAGGGTCGTGACCGTAATTCACCGAGGGGAAAGAAAAACTCATGCGAGAATTCCAAAACTGAACAGCTTGTTTTACGATTACTGGAAACCTACCTCAACAAGGGTCATCATGTCTTTATGGATAATTTTTACAATAATGTAACATTGTCTTCTAAATTGTTAACACACAAATCCCACTCCACTGGGACACTAAGGTCTAATAGAGTAGACAACTATGCAGTTGTTGTAAAGAAGAAACTTCTGGCGAAAAGAAGGTGAACATATCTGGCAAAAAAAGAAGAATGTTAGCTTATATGTCAGCAAGTGGCAGGACAAACGAGATATGTATATGATAACTACAGCGTACGAGCCAAGAATGATTACTGTTAAAAATAGGCATAGTATCGAAAAACAAAAACCCTGCGAGATAGATGGATATAATAAGTATATGCCGGGGATTGATAAAAGCGATCAAATGATATCATATTATAGTTGTCCTCGTAAAACCATCCGTTGGTATAAGAAAGTGGTATTCCATCTTTTATATATAGCGGTGTGGAACGAAAGATAAAAGGAAGGAGATGAAACTAGCTGATTTTAGAGAAGCTATAATAAGGTCTCTTATACAAATTGAATCGGATGTTGCTGGAAGACTTCTTGTAAAACCAGCAAAACAGGCACCAAAAACAGCAGTTACAGAACAACATTATTTAGAAGAGATACCTTTACCTGAAAAATATCACAAAGCTCATTTATTCTTGAAATGTAGATACTGTACAAAAGAGAAGAAACGAAAAGAAACTAGGTATAGGTGTGAAGTATGTGTAGATAAGCCTCCACTATGTCCGGCACCATGTTTTAAACTTTGCATACTTGATTAATCTGTAAACCATATATAGTTGTTGCTATAAATAAATGTGTTTTTTAAATAATAAGAAGACGTCTCTCTGTCATAAACTGTCTAAAATATGTAAAATAATGTTTCCAATGTGACAGTGACGTCCATAGCCGTTGTCTTGTTTTCTTCTATTTTCCATCTGGTTACACCTTCCCACCCCTACCTGGGACATGAAATTATGATTGGCAGAGATAACCAGACTCATAAACTGAAGAGAAGAGTCGGTCTTGGGTGGGCAGCATTTGGAAAACTGAGACACACTTTTAAAAGTGAGCTGCCCACATGCCTAAAGAGAAAGGTATTTGATCAGTGCGTCCTCCCAGTTTTGACGTATGGAGCAGAAACACTTACCTTAACAAAAGCAGCAGCTACCAAACTGAGAGTCACGCAGAGAAGAATGGAGCGGTCCATGTTAGGAATAACTCTCCGAGACAGAATAACAAACGAAGACATCAGGAGAAGAACCGGAGTGACTGACATCATCGAGAAGATAGCCAGACTAAAATGGAGATGGGCAGGACACATAGCCAGAATGACAGATGGGCGATGGACAAAGATGTTATTGGAATGGAGGCCACCTACCAGATGGACTGACGATTTAAGAAGACTCAATAAAAACTGGATAAGAGCGGCGCAAGATAGACGGGGTTGGAAACATGAGGAAGGGGCCTATGTTCAGCAGTGGACTCTTGAGGCTGGATGATGATGATGACACCTTCTTGAACCCACAGGTATAACTTTTTTTTTATATGTGTGAAGTAATAATGAAAATACGCATGGGCCGTATCACGACATCCACCATTTTCATGAGGGTCACTAAAGGGATAATGACTCTGACGTCCATAGACGTCGCCGTCCGTCAATGGGTTAATTTATTTCGTTTAATTCTGATTAAATGCCGAATCTCCATGTTTTTCTGCCGTTTTAGTAAAATTTTAAAGTAAATATAGATTATCTTTAAAATTATTATTATTTCTTTACAATTTAAAGCAATTAATCGTATAAATTTGAAGTGCTGTCACTTTTGCCTTAGTAAAGTGCAGTTGTCACATCAATTTACATGGCATACTTATCTTGATTTGTAAAAACAAGTTTACAAATCAAATGGTATGTATTAACAAAAAAGATATTAAGTTTTTATTAAAAAAAGTAAAATAGTAATGGTATTCCTTAGATATTTTTGATGTGTGCATTTGTAAATTAAAAAAGGCTTTAAATGCTTAGCAAAAATTCGAACAAATATCGTTAAACATTTACTAATGTACTATAGCCAGTGTCAAAATGGTGGATATATTATTCTTCCATTGATTTATTTATTTTTTCTAATACTCACTCAAAAAACCAAATTTTTTAGTGAATAAATTAATAAAAGTAATGGGACCTCCGGCATAGTTAAACGTAGGCTGCGTCACAATACGAGTACTTAATAAAAACGATAACCAAACTTGTGCTACTCAAATTTCCACCGGTACATAGGTACCTCCTAGAAAAATACTCAGTTGTCCCCAATTTACATAAAAATTTATTACAAGAAATAATCGTAACAGGAGACAAGAAGTGCCCATTTCTGAAACACCACAACTCAAAATATTATTGAGCATTATTGTAAAGGATGATAATAAGACTCATTCCGTTGATAATCTACTGCGGGGCCGAAAGTTTTTGACCAGATTTAATGTGGATGCCTGTCTCTTAGGACAAAATCATAAATACTCACCCAAACTTGTTCTACGCTGTCCAATCTAGTCCTCCGTGTTTTGAATTGTAGTGGTAGTGGCACAATGTCAATTGCTCAAGTTTTTTTTTAATTCAGTTATTAACTCTTAATTTATTTTGAATCACATGAACTGATTATTGTAATGAAATTTAAAAAAAGAAAAAAATATACACCAATAATTTGGAAAATGTAATATCATTTTTATGATTTTAAAATTTTTTTACTGGAAAAATTTTCATTGAGAATATTATGGCAATATATTATTCACGAAAACCACAGATTTTAATATACAGGGTGTTTTAAAAAGGTTTGTCATAAATTAAATCACGCATTCCGGGGACAAAAATAAATTGATTGAATCTAACTTACCTTAGTACAAAAGTGTACACAAAAAAAGTTACAGCCCTTTGAAGTTACAAAATAAAAATGATTGTTTTTTGCATTATCTCCTAAACTACTTGACATTTTGTAATAAAAATGGACACGTTACTTTCTTGTTATGAAAGCATTTTTCATACAAAAGAAACAACAAAATCTAAGCGCACAGAAAAATTTTGAGGGGGGTGTGCAGCCCTAAATCCCCCCAAACTTTTGATTACATTTAAATCAAATGAATTTTGTGGCATTATTAGTTTAACACATTATTTTTAAACGTTTTTTGCCTAAACGTTTTTATACAAGGGTAATAGCTGCTCAACTAAATGTTCCTCACGTAAGGGTTTGAAGGCGTTTGAAGGATCAGATGCTTAACCCTTAACTGGAAACGTGCCGTCTGACAGACTACAGCATAAAGAATTTTTAACACCCTGTACAAATAACTCCGCCATCGGCACATCACTTCATCTATTCTTTATATTATTCGTTGACTATTAGTGACCCGACTTAGGTAAAGAAATACGCATCAGTTATAGTTAGTCTATTAGACGGCACGTCTCGGTTCAGGTTACATTTTGTTTCATTGAAAACGTCGCGTATTTGTTACAATCATGGCCGGTCCATAAAAAAAATCCGTTTTACCGATGCTGATTTTGAAGATACAGCTTTGAAGTGGTTTGACGAATTAGATAGTGACGCTAGTGATGTTGATCAAGTACAAGATGATGTTTATTTGGAATCTGATAGCCAGACGGATTCAGACATTTCTACGGAAAGTGATGAAGAAAATATTTCGAAAGAAAATATAGTTGAGACTAATAATCAAACATATTTCTACGGAAAAAAACGATTCAGGTGGTGTAAATCTGAAGTTCGACCAGTATCTCGTACAAGGAAACATAATTTAGTAACAAAAATTCCCGTCCTAAAAACAAAAGCACGAAGTCTTGGAGAGGAAGCTGATCCTCTAAAGGTATGGCAGTTATTGTTTACCGAGAGAAATTCGTAGTGCCATTTTTAAAGTTTCCGGACTTCAGGAACCAATGCCTGCTGCAAATCCAGAGCCACAACGATGAAAAAAGAGGGAAAGGTGTAAAATATGTCCATATTCCAAAAACCAAAAGAAAGAAAGCTCATCGTTCGATAAATGTCGAGATTTTATTTGCAAAAATCATTCCCGCATACAGACGTTATGCATAAGCTGTGCTGAAAATTAAGGTAAAATCATGCTTGTCATTTTTGAGATACTAAATTTAAATCGATTTTTTTTATTTTAGGTAAGAGCTATGATACCTAGATTTCACCATTGGATATAAAAAACTGCACATTGTTATTATTTTTCTCATAATTCGATAAAGTGCACAGCTATGTTAATTTGACTGAATACAAAAGTTTTTTTTAGATAAAGTTATATATAATTACCCAAATTCGTTTATTTTTATATAAATATAAAAGTAGCTGTAAACAAAATAATTTAAAATAAAACAAGTTAAAAAAAGAATATTTTTTGTTACAAAAAACAATGGGGGGTCAAATTTGACCCTGCCATGGTACAAATGTTACTATTTTTGGCCATGGTAGTTAAGGGTTAAATGTAATGACTGCTATAAAAAATAAGTTGTTTTCAGTCATTTTTTGTAAAAGTTACTCTTTTTTTTAATTTATTTGTTAAAATTTACGTGTAGGTAAGTTTGTTCATTTTTCTATATGAAATATATCTTTCTTTTTTCGTTTCTGTTGTTGACTCTTAAAGTTCTATAACTTTAATTAAAAGAAATACAATATTTTTTAGGTAATTATTTTAAGTTCAAATAAAATAACATCATAAATAAGTGCGGACTCAGAGTCAGCGCGCGACCTTGCATGCTATAAAACTGGATAATATGAAAGCCTATACCGAATTAATTTCAAAAATTGCTGACAAATAAAAACGTTGTTAATCCTATCAATTAAAACCATAAGAAATAATGAGACAAGTACAAAAGTAACAGTACATGTATACGTATTTATAATGTATTATTTACATATGTAGTTAATTTTGTAATTTATTGTGGACTATTATAATTACAAAATTTTAATAAATGTACGCGCATAATTACCAATTAAAAAAAAACGATCAAACAAAGTGAAATAAGTTCCGATTGCTCTTCCGAATCTAAAAACTAAATGTCTAAACTCCTATTTAGGCACTTGACAACCTCAAAAATAATAATTAACATGTAAGTTTTTAAGCCTCGAAAACGCGTATTTTAGCATTTTTTATATTTTATATTCTTGCAATTCAAGAACTGACAACTTTATAGAAAAATGACAGAAGACCTTTTTTGTTTAAAATGACAGAAAAACCTAAAAAATATTTTACGAGGCAAAAAAATGGGATTTTTGGAATTTATTTAAAAAAATTGTTTTATCAATTTCTGTTCAAAAATTTTGGAAGGTAACCTTCAAGGGGACATTTTTAAACAAGAATCTGCAAAGAAACCGAATCAGATACGTTTTTCCTACGGAAGTGATCTCACAATATGGAGTAATACGTATTTAGTCAATAAAAATATTAGGAAGAGGAATCGTAACAATGGAAACTTTTTGCTCTTTAGCCAATAACTTTTTGTCTTTTTCTTTATTTAAAAAACCGATTAAGCTTTTTGACAGTGATGGAAATGGTGGCGAAGTTAGTAAGGTTAGTATACTGAATACACAATAGCACATAGTTAAAGGTTAAATGAGAACCAATACACCGATGGACTTCTACCTAGAGTGCAGATGAGAGCGTATTTATTGATACTGCTATTTACAGAGTTACCATATGTATTTTTATTAACAGTCCAGAGCTTTGTACCGGGTGGCCCAGTAAGCCGATCTTTCGGCTATATATCAGAAACTATTCCTGTTATAACTTTAGGAGAAAAAATTCGTTAGTAAAAGTGGTCAAGAGAAATCGCTGGAAATAACTTTCAAGTTTCTGGGTTAACCGCTAGGGGGCGTAACCTGTGAATAAAAATTTGAAAACCAGTTTTTTGTGAAATATGCCCAATTATACCAAGTGTTAAATAAGTAAACTAGAAAGAGGCCTAAATTCCGCACAAAGTTGTTCAAGTACTTTTTTTTATTTTTTCAAATAAAGGGTGGGGGAGAGTGGGAAAGTATTTGTGGATAAATACCTATAACTTTGGTTTGGATCAACCGATTTTAACGAAATTAGTGTCATTAGAAAGAGTATGGATGATTTAATTTATATCTACTATAAAACAATTGAATTTAGTTTTAATTGTCATGGGTAGAGGGTACTTTTGAATAGAAAAAATTAAAATTTATTTTTCTTCAAAATGTTTAATAGAAATACCTATTTATTGTAAATTATAATGAAACTGATGAAAGTCCTAACAAAACGGCGCAAACCGTATGTAGATAGCTTTTGTAAAACTCGAGATATGAATAAAAACGCATAAACATAAATAAGTATAGTATTGACTCATCCTTTATTATAACTTAAAATTAAATATGTGAAAGATCATACAAACATCTCGATCATTAAAACTTAATGTCCAATTAAATGTTCAAATTGTTTTCCATCATTGTCCACACAAAGATGTAATCTTTCGCGCGTAGACATAACAGCTGCTTCAATCTCAGCTGTTGATATACTATTTATTGCGTTTATAATGCGCTGTTTCATCTCGACTCGCGTGGTTGGTCAAGTTTGGTACACTAAGTCCTTCAATCTTCCCCACAGATAAAAGTCCAGATATGTTAAGTCTGGAGATTCCCCTTCCAATCCATTTATTTGGATAACTTGCATACAAATAATCTCGAACTCGTCTGGAAAAGTGCGCAGGACACCCGTCATGTTGTAATATCATATCTCTTCTTGTTTGTAAGGAAATATCTTCCAATAAAACAGGCAACTGATTTTCCAGAAAATCCAAATATTTTTCGCCATTTAAAGTTATATCAAAGAAATATGGACCTACGATCTTTCCATCAACTATACCACACCAAACATTAAGACTCCATCTACCTTGAACCTGCACCTCATGTATCCAATGCAGATTTGCTTTAGACCTAACATCCAATTGCAGTAATCCAGCCTTGCATCAAAATCTCTCTCATGTAAAGCTTGGTGAAGAACTACATGATAAGGATGCAGTCTAAAAAACAGAACAACAAATATTGGTGAAAAAGAAACCACTATATTTACTAAAACTCAAAAATCTTGAAAAATCTACAATTGTTTCACAAGATAAATCGTGCATAAGTATTTTTAAGAAACGGATAAAAGGATAAAAGCGCCGTGTTGCCG